TGACTCGCTTAGTAAGCGAGCAACAAAATGGCCTTAGTGTCAGCCAAACTCACACAGCATCTCTGAGACATTCAATCATTTCTTCATTTTCTGTCATTGTACTCTAGCCCACAGAAAGATCACACTGTGAGAGATTTGCAATTTGCACTGCTAGCCTGGTCCACTAGCCTGCCCCCGGCAGACACTACCTGCCACTGTCCTCATCCCTGAGGGCTGTACCCACCTCAGGCAGTAGCACCTTCCAGAACTTTCTCCCTCATCTTCCTTGTCTCCTGGCCTCGCAGCTTTCAGGACCTTTTAACTACTTTGCTTGCTCCTCAGGAACTTGCCTTGTCCTTTTTGTGGCCTTTGGGTTAGGTCACCACCCATTTTCAGCCACGTCCATTTGGAGTGCAGGATGGGGAGCAAGAGGCAGTTCAGATTCTGCAGGACGGGGTTGCGGGAGATGGAAAGAGCAGAGGTACACAACTGCACACTCAGAAGCAGCCAGACCTTCAGGCTTCTGAGCTTGCTTCCTGCTAACCTGTCTCCCCACACCTGCATTGCATTATGCAGGGCTCCGTAAAGGAGGTGGGTAGGATGCAAACCCATCCTGCAGCGTTGTCAAGTGTATGCAACACACCAGCATTTTAGTGGTCACCTTTGAGTTTATATTTTCTTCGTATCTGTATTTTCATAATTTTTGTAATCCAATCATTCAGGATCTACTGCCAGTCTATGACTGTGTATGGTACTCATACATTTTAAAGGGTCAGTAGAATTTTTAAGACAATTTAAAGAAGGAATGTGGAAATGCATCATTGAGGCCAGAAGTGGTGGCTCGTGCCTGTAATCCCAGCACTTTAGGAGGTTGCAGTAGGAGAATCACTTGAGCTCAGGAGTTTGAGACCAGCCTGGCTAACGATGAAACCCCACATCTACTAAAAATACAAAAAATTAACTGCTCATGGTGGCACATGCCTGTAGCCCAACTACTCAGAAGGCTGAAGTACGAGGGTCACCCAGGGCCCAACTGCTCAGGAGGCTGAAGTAGGTCACCTGAGCCCGGGTGAGCCTCCTACCTCAGCCCCCTGGGTAGTTGGGCTACAGGCATGTGCCACCATGAGCAGTTCAAGCTGCAGTGAGCTGTGATTGCACCCCTGAACTCCAGCCTGGGTAATGGGAGTGAGACTCTGCAGAGAAAAACAAGAAAGAAAGAAAAGAAATGCATCATTGATGAAGAGAAAACAGTCCAGAAAAGGAGGGCACCCCTGGAAGTCCAGCTGACAGAATGCAGCCATGACAGGGTGTCAGGGACAACCCAAAACTCAGCAGGGACTACAAAGCAATAGGCTTGTTCAATCTCTGACATTTGAGCCAGCCACCCAAATTACAGTTGTTTTCTTAAACTATTTTTAGGAGACCAAGGCACTAAGGGGCAATTTTATAAGCAGGCACAATAGAGGGCCACAAGGAGGGTGCCTTTTAAAAGATCCAAGGAAGGCCAGGCGCGGTGGCTCACACCTGTAATCCCAGCACTTTGGGAGGCCGAGGCGGGCGAATCACGAGGTCAGGAGATTGAGACCATCCTGGCCAACACAGTGAAACCGCATCTCTACTAAAAATACAAAAAATATTGGCCAGGCATGGTGGTACATGCCTGTAGTCCCGAAGCTGAGGCAGGAGAATGGCTTGAACCCAGGAGGTGGAGGTTGCAGTGAGCCAAGATCACATCACTGCACTGCAGCCTGAGCGACAGAGCGAGACTTCATCTCAAAAAACAAACAAAAAAGATCCAAGGAAGACTGTCTTCTCCAAATCTCCCTGAGCCCAACAGTCATTGTTCATGAATAATGGATGATTCACTCTGGTTCTCCACAGATGCTAGCTAGACACACAGAATATCAATCATGAAAGGTAACTTAGAGATCAGCCTCCTACTCAATACAGGTGTCTCCTCAAGAACGCTGCCAAGATGGGTTTGGTCAGAACCTGCTTAAACATGGATAGTAATGAGCAGTGCACTAGCTTACGAGGTAATTGCTTCTATATCCGAACGGCTCTAGTCATTCAAACATCTTATTAATTGCAACTTCTACCCACCAGAACCAGTTCTTCCCTGTGGATCTACAGAAAACAAGTCTAGGCTGGGCGCAGTGGCTCACACCTGTAATCCTAGCACTTTGGGAGGCTGAGGCGGGTGGATCACTTGAGGTCAGGAGTTAAAAACCAGCCTGGCCAATATGGTGAAACCCCATCTCTACTAAAAATACAAAAATCAGCTGGGCATGGTGGCAGGTGCCTGTAATCCCAGCTACTCAGGAGGCTGAGGCAGGAGAATTGCTTGGACCTGGGAAGCAGAGGTTGCGGTGAGCCAAGACTGCGCCACTGTACTCCAGCCTGGGCAACACAGCGAGACTGTCTCAAAAGAACAAAAGGAAAAAGAAAAGAAAACAAGTCTAAACTCTCTTTCAGCTTTTTCAAAATTGAAAACAGCTATCATGTTCAACTGAACATGAACATTCCGCTCTGCTCCAGACTAAACAAACCAACCCCTCAGCTCCAGAGTTGCCAGTTAAAATGGGAAAATGCCTGACTCCAACGCCTGGCATTCCTGGAAAGTGAGAGGTAGGTGGAGTCATGTATTTGATTCAGAAGAAAGTAAGGAAGATTGGAGGAAGGATGATTGTATAACAACACTTAACTTACTTTTCAATTTCCAAAAGACACCAAGGCTAGCATAATCCTTCATAAAATTAAAGATTTCTACCTGTCTGTATTAGTCCATTCTGATGCTACAAAAGAAAAAAAACCCTGCCCGAGACTGGGTAATTTATAACGGAAAGAGGTTTAATTGACTCACAGTTCTGCAGGGCTGGGGAGGCCTCAGGAAACTTAGAATCATGGCAGAAAAAGAAGCAAACGTGTCCTTCTTCACGTGACAACAGGAAGGAGAAGTGCCAAGCAAAGGGGGAAAAGCCCCTTATAAAACCATCAGATCTTGTGAGAACTCACTATCATGAGAACAGCAGCATGGGGGAACCACCCCATGATCTAATCACTTCCCATGAGGTCCCTCTGCCAATATGTGGGGATTACAATTCGTATTACAATTCAAGATGAGATTTGGGTGAGGACACAGAGCCAGCCCATATCACTTCCTATTACCAAAGTACTTCTTGATATAATACTTTAACATCAAAAAGTTTCCACAAAATCCCAGTGGGTGAGAAAAACCCATCTGAGCAGAACATGTATACTAAATTGATCAATAAATATGTATATTGCCCCCATTCTAAAGGCCCCATACGTAAAATATTGAGATCTTTTTAAGAACTAGTATTATTAAAATAAAGATCCATTCTATAAGAGTGCATTCTAAAGAGGCGTCTTTACTGAATTTCAACACAGACACGTTCCTTAAAACAGAAAATTCCATTCCCCAGGTCCTCTTCGTGCAGGAGAGAAGCTGAACATGAAATGACATTCACAGCTCAGAAAACCTCCCCCCTCCCACCCCACCCAAAAACACAGAGATGCTAACATTCAAAGAAATGTAACGTGTTGCGTCACAAATTTGGTTATGAAGAAAGGTCTGACTGCAGCCAGATATTTACCTTCGAGATAATATTGTTGCAAGACTTCCTCCCCACAGAATGAAATCTCTGCTTTTCCACTCCCACAATATGAAGGTTGCTTTGAATATTTGTTCTCTCAGCTGGTACATGTGGAAAGCTTGGAGCTATTTTTCCCTCTAAAATGTTAGAAACTCTCTTCTTCTCATATGACTGACACTTTCTAAAACACTTTTATCATCTCAAGCAATAAACCCTGAGGGACTGGAGAAGACATGAGAGATGGTAAAAATGTTTCTGCTCACAAAATCACTACAGCCTGCTGTGCAAGGGAAAGGGTCTCATTTAAGGGCAAGAAGACAGAAATGCCTATTTATGTCAAAGTAGTAATTTGGATAATAACAACAGACACACTCGTTTTTTTTCTTAACTTTTGATTTTATGTTCAGGGGTATATGTGCAGGATGTACACGTTACACAGGTAAACGTGTGCCATGGTTGTTTGCTGCACTGATCATCCCATCAGCTAAATATTAAGCCCAGCATCAATTAGCTATTCTTCCTGATGCTCTCCCTCTCCCCAGCCCACCCCCTCTGACAAGCTCCAGTGTGTGTTGTTCCCCACCATGTGTCCATGTGTTCTCATCATTCAGCTCCCACTTATAAGTGAGAACATGTGGTGTTTGGTTTTTTGTGTCTGCATTAGTTTGCTGAGGATAATGACTTCCAACTCCATCCATGTCCCTGCAGAGGACATGATCTCGCTCTTTTTATAGCTGCGTAGTATTCCACAGTGCAAATGTATCACATTTTCTTTATCCAGTCTATCACTGATGGGCATTTAGGTTGAGTCCATGTTTTTGCCAATAGTGAATAGTGCTGCTATTGTGATATGCATGCATGTATCTTTATAATAAAGTGGTTTATATTCCTTGGGGTATATATCTACTAACGGGATTGCTGGGTCAAATGGTATTTCTGCCTCTTGGTCTTTGCGAAATTGCCTCACAACACATTTTGAATACTTACTGTGGGTCAGGCACTCCTTTAAGCTCTTTATGTGATTTAATTCGTTTAGCTCTCAGAACAGCCCTAGGAGGGAGGCAGTATTCTTATCCACTTGACAAGTGAAGACAGAGATAGAGATGTTAAGCAATTCACCTAAGGTCAAATAGCTATCAGGTAAGTGGCAGTGCCAGAATCAAACTCTAAAGGTGAGGCCCCAGAGCCTGTGCTCTTACCATTTTTCTTTTCTTTTTCCTTTCTTTTTTTTTTTTTTTTTTTTTTGAGACAGAGTCTTACTCTTGCAGTGCAGTGGCCACCACACCCAGCTAATTTTTTGTATTTTAGTAGAGACGGGTTTCACCATGGCCAGGATGGTCTGGATATCCTGACCTCATGATCCACCTGCCTCGGCCTCCCAAAGTGCTGGGATTACAGGCATGAGCTGCCGCGCCCGGCCCCATTTTTCTATATGTATTCTTTGCGTTCCTTAATATATTTGATAAAAGTCACATGAGACTAATTTTGTTCCAATGCCTACCAGCTGTATCAATGACCTTAAACCTGTTTTTGCATGGCCAAAGAGTTCCAGATTGACTTAGGGCCCGGTGAAGGTCCACAGAGACTTCTCATTACCAGTGGGTGGCAATGTTGTTCCATGGAGCCATCACGGTGCAGTGTAAGGCCTGGCATGTTCCTTAAAGGTGGAAAGGCTGGCCACTTTGTGGCTAGGTCGTTCTGGGTACCCCAAAGCATTTCTCCAAAGAATGCAATTTCTCCAAAGCATTCAGGATGATCCTGCAGGAGCAGAGAGGGAATTAGGAGAACACCCAGGAAACTGTTCATTTAAGTGATTCTGCCCCTGTCCTGCCAGATTATCTCCAGTATGTCTCAATCATAAATTAGACATTTGTCTTCCCACTAGGGCATGTCTTTCTTAGGGGCAGAAACAATACAGCCTTTGTAACTACAATTTTACTAGCCTATGGTAGATGAGTAAATGCATGAATGAATAAATTTCAGTTCCTCAGAGGCAATCAATTCTATTTCAAGGAACAGCCTAAGATCTGCAGGGTCCTCTGTAGTTGTCCAAAATGAATTCAGACATCATCGGTGACTCTAGGTTGTGTTTAGTCACCCCAGAATCCTCAGAATAGAATAAACCAAAGAAAGCCTCCCCAAATTACTCTGGTCTGAATTCCTGAAATTGCAGTACCCAATGTGCCCTTCCACTGACCTGGCCCTTCTGCAAAAGGATAGCAGTTTAGGGAGAACAAGTGTCAAGCTGACTCTGGGTAATTTCAATAAAATGGGCCCAGTAACTGATGGAGTCAAGGGCTTTCCCAAAGAGCTCCATAATAACCCAAGGACAGAGTCACCATGTGAAGCTCTAAAAAAGGAGCCTTTTGTAAAACCTGAGATACTCTAAGGAAGGTCCTCAAATCCAAAACATTTTTAACAGCCTATTACATGTCTGACATACCAGTATTAATGCTAAGCCCTTGACATTAGATAATTTGTGATACATCCAGAACTCAGGTTTTGTGACCATGAAAAATGAAGGAAAGAAATGATTTCAAGGCTGTCTGTCCTTCCAATTTTTAGGTAAAAATTAATAAAAATTAAAATACATACCTATTTTTTTTTTTAAAAAAAAACCTACTAGAGTATTTGTTGTTAAAATGCACATGCTGAATGAAGAGACCCCCCAAACAGACTTTGTGTGAGTAACATGCCTATTTATTCACCTGGGTGCGGGCGGGCTGAGTCTGAAAAGAGAGTCAGCGGAGGGCAGTGGGATCAGAGTTGGTTTTATAGGTTTGGGGTAGGCAGTGGAAAGTTATAGAAGTTACAGTGTAGGGTGGTTTTTGCAAGCTGGGAGGGGGTCAGAGGGTCTGGAGTCACAAGGTTGACCAAGGTCGGTTACAAAGTCCATTGCCTTATCAATTGAGACAGGAATAAGGAACAACAGAAGAATGTCTCAAGTTAATTAGGCATTGCAGGGGTTGATCATTCTTCCTCTTTTCATGGTCTTGCTGTTACTTCAGATTTTCTAATTCTGGGAGGCCGTCCAGAGGTGGATGTGTGGGTCACGGGGGTTGCCATGGTATTCATGGTGCTGTCAGTCAGCCTAAAAGATCTTATATTTATAAAGGTCAGAATTAGCAAAATACATATTTTTTCTTTTTTAGGACTTCATCAAATAGCAAGGACTTGTTTTCTTAGTTATAGACGTGCTAGGCTCTGGTACCCCCTTAGTATTAGTATATTAAAGCTAGTAAGCCTGACTTCTCTCCTACCATGTAGGAAAAAAACTTGTTTATTTTGATGGGTATAAAAGAACATAAATTCATTATTATAAAAAATTTGAAAAAATATAGAAAGTTCTGAAGAATATCCAAGAAACTATCTCTATTGACTTTTTGATGCATGTTCTTCCAGGCCATTACAGACTATTACACATTTTATATGTATACATATACAATTAAAACACAGTTGCAGAGATGAGGTCTGGCTGTGTTGCTCAGGCCGATCTCCAACTACCGGTCTCAAGTGATCCTTTCACCTCGGCCTCTTAAAGTAAAAGGATTATAGGCATGAGCCACCATACCAGGCCACACCTATGTTTTGTTGTTGTTTTTTTAACTTTGACCATGGCAATTTATTTTATGCATTATTTAAATCCGCTGTTTAAAAATGTTCAAAAGGCACTTTAAGAAACATTTTAAAATACATTTTTCAGACTTAATGATGATCACTTAAAATAGGCAAGTCACTAGACATTTTTAAACCATTCATAACACCATTACCTTACATAATTTTTAAAACACAAACACAAACATTCACCATGTAGTACAACGCACTGCTCAGCAGTAAGATTAATTTCCCTCTAATAATATACTTTATGTAGATTATTAATTTGCAGGGTCCAGCAAAGTTATTAAAACTTAACTAATGTAACCTGAAAACTGCAGAGGTAAGGGAGTTGAAATAGAACATACCTATAAAACTTTAGAGTTGGTTTCTCTAAAGAGAATTTGCAAAATCCCTTATTCCTGCCTGTGTTAAAATTTTTATTTCAACTCTTATATATAAGCATATTGTTTTAAGTCAGCAGAGGTAACATAAACATTTAGCATAAAATCTACCACAGGTTGTCTCCTGGATTGCTTACTATATTTCTGTCAGGCCTAATAAAGTAGAAAAATAGGCTGGGTGGGGTATCTCACACCTGTAATCCCAGCACTTTGGGACACCAAGGCAGGTGGATCACCTGAGGTCAGGAGGTCAAGACCAGCCTTGCCAACATGGTGAAACCCTGTCTTTACTAAAAATATAAAAAATTAGCTGGGCGTGGTGGCAGGTGCCTATAATCCCAGCTATTTGGGAGGCTGAGGCAGGAGAATCGCTTCAACCCAGTAGGCAGAGGTTCAGTGAGCGGAGGCAGCACCACCGTACTCCAGCCTGGGTGGCAGAGCGAGACTCCCTCTCAATAAATAAAGAAAGAAAGAAAAAAAAGAAAAACAAAGCAAATGAGTTTCGTTTTTTTTGTTTGTTTATTTTTGAGAAAAGGATGAGTAGAAGAATCCAAATAACTTTACTTCTTTTAATAACTGTAGATGTAGAATTAATTTAAAATTATAGACTTTTAAGTAGGGCAAGTATCTTGAGAGCCAGCAGGCATTATTCTTAGAAAGACTTTTACTTTCAATCTCATAGGGAAACCTAGTTAGTAGGTTTAAAATTATCAATCAAGTAATAAAAATTCTAATCATTATTAATAGCCAAATTAACCCTTTGAAGGCAGCATTTAAGAGTAACTAGAAAATGGAAGTTAGTAATGAAGCAAATAAAGTAGGGCAATAAATACAAAGCAGAAACTGCCAAAGAATAATAGTCTAATGAATTGAAAACTTAAATGGTGAATAAAATGCTAGATATAATTAATCAATCAAGGGATTCTTTCAAGTACAATGGTGCATCAACCTGGTAATAACTATAGTTTGACAGTCTTGAAGCGAAAAATTAATACTCAAGAAAACAATTGTGAAAACAACCAGTTAGCAAATTTAATGCTCAAATTCAATTCCTTATTCAAAAAATATTAAAAGCTGATTAGTGATTTATTTTCATACCTCATTACAGTAAGAAAAACTCTGAAATTTATGATATTTGAAAACAAACTGGGACAAAAAAATCTGCCTTATCTATGAACTTTCCACTAGAAAATACAACCATACCATTATTAGAGATCATAAGACATCAAAAGCCCTATGTTCTGAAACCATACCAAAATGATTTATCCAAATGAAAAAGATCTTAATTTAAAAGATAGTGAACATCATCATCAAGAAATGGGATTTTATGTGCTCTATTAAATACTTTGAGAATTATTTTTTTTTGCTTTATTCAGTCACACAAAACAATGAATTAGCAGAAAAGTGCTCTGTATGTAATAAAATAGCATTTACTACTTCAATTTAATTTTTTTTACTAACAATTGTGACCTTTTTGATGACACTTACTTTATGTATGATTTTAATAAATTATGTACTTATTAGTACTTAATGAACTCTTCCTTCTTCGATATAAAATTACTAACCTTGGAGAATTAAAGATTTTATTGTGGGCCCTGATATTAGTGACTTTAGAGAAGCTAAAAACTTGGCCAAAATGAATGATCCAATGACCCTTTATCTTTATTTTGTATTTAATATAGTGTTATCCTGGACTACACTGATTTAAAACATGGTTTTTGAAAGATGTCTAAGTAATGGGGCAGCAATCCTCCATGTGTTTCAAACACTATTTGCATCAAAATCATGTAGGTTGTTGGGCAGTCGTTCTCAAACTAGGATGAGAAAGACACCTGCAGTGTTTGCCTAAACACAACTGCTAGTCCCTGCCCCTGCTCCTAGATTATCTGATTTAGTAGATCTGAGATAGGCCCCTGAGAGAGTTGCATTTCTAACAAGTTCCCAGGTGATGTTGATGCTGTTTGTTGGGACCACCCTTTTGATAATCACTGCCCAAGGGTATCTGGTAAGAATGGGTCCCCATGCTTAAATTAGAATTTCTTAGACTGGGGTCTTCACCTCTGCATTTTAACAACATTCTAGGCAAGTGTATGAACCACAGTTTAAGAATCACTATGACAATTTGGCCAGGTTAATTTGACTATTACTGGCCAATGTATCAGATGTCACATATCATATAAATAAAAATGGAAATAATACTAAATGACTAACCCCAAGCCTGATACGGTACAAATGAACACCCAGGTTTGAATATAAATCCTACCTCTGTTACTTGCTAGCTTTGTGACAGTGACAAGGTTAGTTTAATTCTGTAAGCCTCAGTTTCCTTATCTGTAATATGGGAATAACACCCAAATTTTGAGGATTAACACTATTATACACAGATTAAGCACAGTACCTAGCATACAGTAGGTACTCGATAAATATTAGCTATTACTTATTAAGAAATGTGTGAAATATTTCCTTCAGTATCTGGTCAAAGCAAATTTTTCATTCACTTAAATGCAATATTTACACTCCAAGGTAATAGAATAATAATACAATCTTCTATTTATTGCTCCCTGTTCTGGGACAGGCAGTGTTCTAAGAACCTTACATTTATTTCATCCTCATAAAAATCCTATGAGGGAGGTAGTATTACCATCCCTAATTTACAGATGAGGAAATTGAGACACAGATTAAGTAAAATTGCTCAAGTTTACAAAAACGGTAAGTGTTGGAGCAAGAATTTAAACCCAAGCAAGTCTGACTCGAGAGCCCAGGATGCATCACAACATTCATTTTCTATGAGCAAAGCTTAAGGTTTCTGGATATTTATGGTAAACCGTCTATACTTCTAGTCAAACATATATGCAAATTCATGTCCACACCATGGTGAAGAGTTGTTCAAAGCATAAAATGAATGCCTTGAAATTTTGGCCGGTAATACTACCATGGTAATAGGTAAACACTAGTGCATGTTTTCACTATGTGGACAGAGTAATCTATGGTTAGCCAATGAAATAAACATCCTCTCAAATATACCATTCAAAGAGGTCATGATTTTGACATGTTTTGGCACAATAAATACAAATTATTTAGCTAGCCGACACTGTGGCTCACGCCTATAATCCCAGCACTTTGGGAAGCTGAGGCAGATTTATCACCTGAGGTCAGGAGTTCAAGACCAGCCTGACCAACACTGGTGAAACTCCGTCTCTACTAAAAATACAAAAATTGGCCAGGTGTCGTGGCATGCGCCTGTAATCCCCACCTACTCGGGAGGCTGTGGCAGGAGAATCGTTTGAACCCAGGAGGCAGTGGTTGCAGTGAGCCAAGACTGAGCCACTGTACTCTAGCCTGGAGGACAGAGTGAGACTCCGTCTCCGAAAAAAATAAATTATTTAGCCAAACAGCAGAGTCAGTGTCATGACAGCCATGTAAAATTGGCATAATGATCAACATAAGGGAAATGTAAATCTTTTGTACGATTAAAAATAATCTCATAGAAAGCCTATAAAATATTCTGTTATGGTACACTCAGGGTTGCTAAAGATAATAAAAATGAAAATTTTCTTCCCTTTCAGAAACTCTTTAAACAGAGAGTCACTAAAAATAGAATGAAACATTTGTGAATGTTTTTGATGACAGTCTTGAATAGATATTCTGCATTGTTAGAATTATCCATTGGCAAAACAATTATGTATCCCAAAATAGTAAGTCAGCAACAACCTTCAGACTGTTAGTTATAAATTAAGTATCTACTGTTTCAATATATAACATTTTCGTTTCAGCACTCTGTATTTTCTGTTTTTTTTTTTTTTTTTTTTTTTTTTTGAGACAGAGTCTCACTCCATCACTAGGCACCAGGCTAGAGTGCAGTGGTATGACCTTGGCTCACTGCAACCTCCGCCTCCCAGGTTCAAGCAATTCTCCTGCCCCAGCATCCCTAGTAGCTGGGACTACAGGCACGCGCCACCACTCCCAGCTCATTTTTTTGTATTTTTATAGAGACGGGGTTTCACCATGTTGGCCAGGATGGTCTCGATCTCTTGACCTCGTGTTCTGCCCGCCTCAGCCTCCCAAAGTGCTGGGATCACAGGCGTGAGCCACCATGCCTGGCCTCTGTTGTTTGTAATTAATTCTTGTCAAAATCTTGCATTCAAAATAATCTTGCCAGTATAACTAATAGCTACCTCAGATCCTTAAAATGAATTTTAAAAATGTGTTTTAAACGAGTTATGAAAGACACAAACAAGTTATCATCTCTCAACAGGATGAGAATGAGAGAAACAGTAACTCCGTAGTTAGAAAGAATTTAAAATAATCACTTTAAAATGTCACTTAGTAAGTGGCACTGATATAAGAAAAGCATCCTCAAATAGCATTAAATTTATTATTAGTTACCCATAATTAACAATGGGTAAATTTGGGAACAAGTATTATCAAATACATGTTTACAGAATGCTATGAATGCTTTGAGTGAATTAATAGCGGAGAATGGTATTCAAGAGTGGCTAAACATATTTAGAAAAGAAACAACAGAGATTCCGTAAAAAATTACTAATTAGAATCACGTATATGATATAGTCAAGGCCCATGATAATTTTAAAATGTGGTTTTATTAATGCACTTCAGGATAAGTGCCAGTCTTATTTTAGCTTCTTCTGGAAGAAATACTGCCAATTATAAATAATCACAACAAAACTTTCACTAGACAAAAACAATGTGTTTGGAGTAGGGTTGGATCATTTATATCATACTGCAAATATAAACTCAATTCTTGAGCTGTATTAACAGCACTGAGCAACAATATTTCTTTCTAAACTTTTCTGTAAGGCAGATCTGTTTTTTACTAACATGGTGCAGTACAGCCTTAGCAAATTTAATTGTTTTAGTATCTCAAAGACAATAATACAGATGGTCAAAAATAGGTAACAAAATCACTTTTCTAGTTCCTCTACCTGACCACCATTTTAAAAATACAAGTTCTCTATATATACGGACAGATAGATTTATATATTACTGTATCAAAACACATTTTAACAGACTTCACAGCTCATTTAAAGCTTCAGTTTATAGTTATCATGTGAAAGATTTCCATATGGAATGTTCACTTAGAATTCCTTACTGGGGTTCCAGTGCTCTATATCAGAAATGCAGACGTCCTTCTTCAGTGCAATGCTAGACATTTTACCTTTGTTTATTCACGATTTTCTTTCAAGGGTTTCCTGACTTCACTTTTGTGTCTCCACTTTTGTTTGTTTGACGAATTTCCTTTGGTATATTTTCAGGTAAGGTAGCTTGATACCTGTATATATGGACAAAGATGATAAACGAGGTATTCTAATTCATACATAGTTGTAGAATCAATATGGTGAAAAGAAACTGCAGGATCAGAACAGCAACCAGGACCCTCAACAGGAGAATAATAGTTGTGATTCTAGCACCAAAAGTTTCTAGGTAGATAACCTTCATTAAATGGTGTTTTGGCCAAAGGGATGAAAAGTTTTTTTTCCAGTGGTATCTCTGGAATCTCCTGCTTCTACACTTGTCATTTCCATGCATCTCCCCCGTGCTGTCTTCAATGGAGGAACTATGTGTACACTTGTCTGTTTTAAATGCATCAACAAATCTCTTCAAGGCTTCTTTGTTTAGCACATATCCTGCTCCTCCACTCATGTTGCCCTGCTTTACATAAGGGCTTAAATCTTCCCCCAAAGTAAATGGGTTATTCAGGGTCATATTTTGAAAGAAGCCATCTCAAATGGTCTAGTATGACATATGTGTCATCATCTGCTTTCAAAAACCAATCCGCATCTTCTAAATAATGTTCATGAACATACTGAAAAGCTTTAATTGTTTTCCCCTATAGTTGATCTCTGCCTTCTTTGGTTTTCAGTCCCACAGCAGGGAAGTTTATTTTCTTCTGAACTAATAAACAACACTTTGTTGCAACACTAGACCCATGTAGCTTGGACATGTTTGGCCTTTTTCTCTAGGTTTTGAGGGCCTGTCATGACCCAGCAAAGAATTTTAACTTTCTGATAGAGGTTTTCAGCGATGTCTGTGTTTTCATCATTATGTTGGCTAGAATCTGCCTTGAAGTTCATTTGTCCTTCTATATGATTCTGTCTATTATCATCTGAATGCCTTGAATGAGGATCATTATGAAGAACGTTAGGCTGGGTGTCACCCTGTTCTCCAACAAAATACTAAATAGCTGAGAACATAAAAGAAATCTTGGCCGGGCGCGGTGGCTCACGCCTGTAATCCCAGTACTTTGGGAGGCCGAGGCGGGTGGATCACGAGGTCAAGAGATCGAGACCATCCTGGTCAACATGGTGAAACCCTGTCTCTACTAAAAATACAAAAAAAAATCAGCTGGGCCTGGTGGCGCGTGCCTGTAATCCCAGCTACTCAGGAGGCTGAGGCAGGAGAATTGCCTGAACCCAGGACGCGGAGGTTGCGGAGAGCCGAGATCGCGCCATTGCACTACAACCTGGGTAACAAGAGTGAAACTCCGTCTCAAAAAAAAAAAAAAA